CCCATAATCCCAGCACTTGGGAAACAGGAGGATCACTAGGAATCCGATCTATGTAGTGAGATCCTGTAGACCCTATACCTATTTTTTTAAATTTTATTTATTTATTTGTGTGTGTGTGTGGCCAGCTCAGCCCACCAGGGGGCGGGGCTGGCTGGCATGTGGTGCTGGGGGATTGAACCTTGGTCCCTGTGCTTTGCTAAGCTTGTTCTAAGAAGGTGCTTTAGACCACTGAGCCATCTCACCAGCCCTGTAGACCCTATAGACCCTTTACTAGCTACATTAAAAAAAATTTAAACAAGAAAGACATAGAGCAGCTCTTAGACAGGTGTGGTGGTGCATGTCTATAATCCCAGCACTTGGGGGGCTGAGGCAGGAGGAAGGTTGGGAGTTCAAGACTAATCTGGGGTGTGAAATGAGCCATAATTGCATAGTGAGACCATGTCTCAAAAAGACTAAATAAATAAATAAATAAGCATTCCTTATGTTAAAGCAATCAATTCATCAGAATGCAAGAAGTGTAAACATGTATGCCCAACACTGGACCACTTAAATATATAAAGCAATTCTATCAATTGTTCTGAGAAGACATAATAATAATGGCAGATTTCAATACCTTTCTTTCTTTTTTTTTAATTTATTTATTTGTGTGTGTGTGTGTGTGTGTGTGTGTATGTGTGTCCAGCTCAGCCCACCAGGAGGTGGGGCCGGCCGGCATGTGGTGCTGGGGGATCGAACCGCTGTCCCTTTGTTTTTGCCAAGCTTGTTCCAAGTAGGTGCTCTAGACCACTGAGCCATCTCACCAGCCCAATATCTTTCTTTCTAATGGACAGATCATCTAGTCAAATTCAATAAGGAAGCATTGGTCTCAAGCTCTGCTTTAGATGGAATGGAACTAATTGATATCTGTAGAACATTCTATCAAACAGCATCACAATACTTTTTTATGTATTTGGTACGGGGTCTCACTATGCAGCTCTGGCTTGTAGTGATTCTTTCGGTTTTCAGCCTCCCCAGCACAGGGATTACAGGCGTGCACCACCACACCTGGACTCAATGGTTGGCTCAGCATGCCCAGGGATGGGGCCAGTGAGACCTGCGGTGTGGGAGACTGAACCCCGCCCCTGCACTTGCCTAAGCAGGTGCTTAGTCCGCTGAGCTCTCCAGTCCCATAATATTTATTCTTCTCACACACATATGGAACTTTCTGCAAGACAGATCATATGCACAAAACGAGTCTCAACAAATTAAAAAGACTGAAATCATATCAAGTTTCTTTGTTAACCACAATGGTCTGAAACAGAAATCAGTAACAAAAGGGATTCCAGAAAACTCAGAAATACACAAAAATTAAACAACATATTCCTGCATCAAAGAAGAAACTAAAAGGGAATTTTTATGAAATGCTGCAAAGGCAATTCTAAGGAAAGTTTATAGCAATAATTGCCTGTATCACAAAACAAGGAAACTGGATGTGTTGGCTCGAACCTATAATCCTAGCACTGGGGAGGTTGAGACAGGAGGATCACTACAAGTCTAAGCTGCGTAGTGAGACCCTGTACCAAATAACTAATAAATAAAGATTGTAAACATCAAAAAAAAACCTTAGACTGAGAAAAGAAGGAAGATGTCAAGTAAACTAATATTGCGCCTCAAGCACCTAGAGAAAGAAGTTAGCAAGAGCAAGAACATAATAAAGATCATAGTATTAATGAATTAAATAGAAATTTAAAAATAGAAAAGATCAATGAAACTAAGTTGGCTTTTCATTAAAAAAGAAAAACAAATATTTAGCCACACTAAGAAAAAAGCAAAAACAAAAAGAGGATCCAGGTTGGCAGCACATGCCTCTCATCCCAGCCACTCAAGGCTGAAACAGGCGGACTGCAAATTCCAAGCCAGCCTGGGCAGCAGATAGTGAGGCCCTACCTTAAACAAAACAGACAAAGAAAAGAATAACTTAAAAATATAAAAGATAAAAATTCAAAACTGGAATAAAAAGAGATTAAGAGAAAAGACAGGATTGAAATAAATGAATTCAGAAAAGAAAGATGAGATCATGAAGTAACAAAAAAATCTCAACAGACCAATGATGAATAAAAACATTGAATCAGTTAAAAATGACATCCATGACAGAAAAACCCAGATCTGAGCTTCTACTCTGGCAAGCAAAGGAAGAAAGATCACAAATTCCAGCCACACCGGGAGAATTCAGTGACTTTTTTATGGCGGAACGAGAATTCAGTGACTTAACAAGACCGTATCTCAAAAAATTTTAAAGAACAACTCGGATACAGTTCAGTGTGAAGGCCATGGATTCAGTCCTCAGTACTGAAAAGAAGAGACAGCTAGGACAGCACGTTTGTGCCATGGCGCCTGGCTAAAACGTCCATTTTCTGACAGAAAATGATGAGACATACAAAGGAACAAGAAATTATGCCACATATACAGGGAAAAGAATGACAAAGCAGCGAACAGAACATGTCCCTAAGAGGGCTGATATTTTAAACTTTATAGACAAAGACTTTATATTAGTTATATTACATTTGCAGATATTTTCAAAGAATGAAAAAAACATATTTGTAGAATTAAAGAATATGATAATGATGTTTTACCACATGATATTAATAAAGTGATAATGTATTAAAAATTAAATAGAAAAATCTGGAGTTGAAAAGTACAATAACCAAAATGAACCCTTCACTAGTGTAGTTTACTGACAGATTTCAGATGGCAGGAGAAAGAAGGATAAGAAAGGGATTATCCATTCTGAGAATCAGAAAGATAGAAAAGGGAATAAAAGAGAAAAAGGGGGCTGGAAAGATGGCTCAGTAGAATAAGAGCCTGCCTGGCAAGTGCAAGGTCCTGAGTTCAATTCCCAGTACAAAAAAAAAAAAAAAAGACAATGAGAAAAAGATCCTCACAGACTTGAGGGACAGCATCAGACTACGACATATTCACAATGGAACCTGAAAAGGAAAAGCAGCAGACAAAGGACTCAAAACTTCAGGGCTCAAAGAGATTCATCCTGGGAATTTCATGGTGAAACTGATAAAAGAAAATATGGAAAGCAGCAACAGAAAATGACTTATGCAAATAAGGGATTTTCAATAAGATTTATTGTTTCTAACCAAAAAACCCACAGTTTTCAAACTGGTAAAACAAAAAGATTGTTGACTAAGAATTCTTTATCTAGCAATGCTGTCATTTGAAAATGAAAGCATTTAAGATAAAAACAGATGGAAGGCATTTCTTTCTCACAGCCAGACCATGTAAGAAATACTAATTTCAGCCAGGCATGGTGCCACATGCATGTAATCCCAGTACTTGGGAGGCTGAGGCAGGAGGATTGCCATGAGTTCGAGGCTACCTTGGGCTGCACAGTGAGTCCAAGCCAGCCTGAACTACATAATGCAAACTGTCTCAAAAAAAACAAAACATGACACTGTGTGTGGTGGCACCCGCCTGTAATCCCAGCTCTTGGGAGGCTGTAAACAGGTAGATCACTACGAGTCCGATCTAGTAGTGAGACCCTGAACACCCAAAACCAAAGCAAAACAAAAACAAAAAAAAATCCTTGATAAATCTATCATAAAAAACTATAGCTCTATATGCCTTATGAATATAGATGTAAAAATCTCAAAAAATGTTTAGCAAACCAAAGTCCAGTAGCATTCAAAAAAATCTTGTTTAACATGATTAAGTGGTATTTATCTCAGAAATGTGAGGTTGTTTTCATCTGCGAAATAATATTACACACCATACTAATGCAATGAAGCACATACTCCACCTGATCAACACAATAGCTACAGAAAAAGCATTTGCCAAAATACAACATCCATTCATGGCAAAAACAAACAAACAAAAACACATGAGAAACAAAGAGTAGAAAGACTTCTTCAGCCAGATGAAGGAGACTAACACAGAACCCACAGCTCACATCACTGTAATACTTTCCCCTAAGGTCAGAAATAAGACAAAGTTGTCTGCTCTCATCATTTCTCATCAACACTGGAAAAGCTAACTAGGGAAATCAGGCAAGAGAATATAGGCATCCACATTGGAAAGAAAAAAGTAAAATTATTTCTATTTACAGATTATGTGATCTTTAAGAGAGATATAATATTTGTACATCTTTATGGGGTACATTATGGTAATTTGATGCACATATAGTATATAATAATTAAATTGGGGCAATAACCAATTCTATCTCTTAAACCTTAATTGTATGTGCCGAGAATTTTATATTCTTCTAGTCATTTTGAAACATACCAGATTGTTCCTATCAATAGTTATTACTGTGCTATAGAAAATTATAACTAATTTCTCCTCTCTATTTTGGTGTCCTTTAACTTCTTTCCACATGCTACACTCTCTGCCCTGCCACTAAGTGACCACTATTCCACTCTATTTTTATACGAGATTGCCTAGTTTCAACACATGAGAATGACATGATTTCATCTATGAGGAATCCTATAGAATTCATCAGAAAACTATTTGAAGTAATAGACAAGTACAGCAATGGGGCATGATAGATCAAAAAACAAAAATAAATTATGTTTGTATACATTAGCAAATAATATACAATACAAATTATATTTGTATACATAATAAATTATATATGTATATATATAATGAACAATCAGAAAGCAAAGGAAAACAATCCCACTTATACAAGCATCAAAACCACACAATCCTGAAGAATACATCTGACAGAAGCAGCATAAGTCATACATGCTGAAAACTATAAAAAAAATTCCTGAAAGACATCAAAAATCTAAATAAACAGAGGGACATTCCATGTCCACAGATTGAAAGACAATAGTTAAATGGCAACATTCT